TGAGCTGCTGGCATTAAAGTTGTGAGCAAGTGATTTGGCTGCTGCATAAATTAGTTTGCTCTGGAGCCCCATCCTTCCTGAGCTGAGACAAAAACGTGTGAGCCGGAGGCTAAAAAACTGTGAGCTAGCTCACACTAACTCAGCTTAGAGGGAACACTGGTTCCACCCTTTGCTTTCCTGGACCAGGTTCCCAGTGCCAATGTTCCCTCTGAGCCCTGGAGTCTTGTGTGCAAAATATCCTACTTTGGGAGCTTAGGGGCATAAAGGCGGTGAGCAAGCAATTGGGCTGCGGCATAAATCCGTTTCCTCTGGAGCCCTCCTTCCTGAGCTGAGACGAAGATGCGTGAGCCGGAGGCTGAGAAACTGTGAGCTGGCTCACACTGACTCAGCTTAGAGGGAACACTGGCTTCCCACGTCATCGGATCGGATGCCTGAGCTGGATCCTCCAGCCGGCCAGCTGGGGAGCCTCTTGTGCACCTCTGACGCTGGTCTTAAAGGTGCCGCTGGACGCAAAAGTTTCCCTGTTGCTTCAGAGTCAGACTGACACAGCTGCCCACCCGAATTGATGTATGTGTGTCATACATGTCATTTATTGAGTGGGGTTGGATAGGGAGTCTCCAGAGGCAGGCTTGAGGCAGCTGACCAGAAAGTCACAAAGCACAAAAAATTAAAATTCAAACACTTAAAAACGGCATAGTAGAACTATGATTGCCAGTGTTCCCTCTAAGCTGAGTTAGTGTGAGCTAGCTCACAGTTCTTTAGCCTCCTGCACACACATTTTTGTCTTGGCTCAGGAAGGATGGCGCCAGAGCAGACTAATCTATGCAGTAACCAAATCGCTCACCCACAACTTTAATGCCAGTAGCTCACAAAATAGAATTTTTGCTCACAAGACTCCACAGCTTAGAGGGATGTCTAGGGACTTTAGCCCTGTTTGACTGTAGCAGTGCAAACACACCGGATGCTTGTGGTGCCGTAAAAGCTTTGACAGAGCTATCGTGGCAGTAACATTCAGGGGCCGGAATCCAGTTTATTACACCTTTGATAGAAAAGATTCTAGTCCAAGGAAGGATGTGTTGCAATAAATCTGTTAACCTTTGAGTGGCCACAAGACTCCGTGTGTGGGTCATGTTTGCTGTGAGTCAGACTGTTCGAGCAGTGAGGTCATCGTAGACCTCTATGCTAATATTAGAATAAAAACTTGACGGTGTTTCAGCTGGTTCCTCTGCCGTCTGTGTAACCTTTTCCGGGATTCGATGGGGCAAGAACAGACCAAAGGTTGATTCAGGTGGGCAGCGGGGTTGGTCTGAAGCCGCAGAACTCGAATCTGGATCAAAGGTTGTTACAGTTAACAATGTGGTTGTCTTCTGTGCACTGCTAAGTTGGTCGCACGCCAGAGCTGGTCCAGGACCACAAGTTGAGCATGGGGAAGGGGAGGCACCCGAAGAACCTGAGAGTATTGACACTCTCACACACATGTGTGTGTGCGTGCCCGTGTACACTCATCTGGAGTTGCTGCTCACCATTCTGGCTGTGTACTCGCAGTCACCGATAACAGCATTTATACTTCACTTTCAGGTACTTCAGATGCTTCACGTACATTATCTTTTCGTAATTTTTACAGCGTCTTATAATTCCAGTATTGTTATCCCAGCCTGGCAGAGAGAGAGAGAGTTAGAGTTTTGTTGAGGAGACAGGCATGATTTGAACTGGGAGCCTCCTGATGTACTACATCAGCTGCAAATATAATAATAGCTTTTGTGTTGCTGGTGTGGGGAATGAACAGCTTGCCTAAGGCCATCTAGTGAGTCCAAGAGGGAGGTGAGATTTGAACCTAGGGCTTCTCAGGTTACAGCTTAGTCTATTACAGTGTTATCCTCTACCTGCTCCCTACTGGCTTCATTCTGTCTGCAAGGAACACAGTAAAGTTATTTACTAGCTGTATGGAGTGGGTGGGGATAGCTACCCTGCAGGAAAGCGAGAGTTGCTATCCTTTCCCTGTGGATTGCGGGCATTTTTGTAGCAGAGTCGTTCTGCTCCCTTGTCCTTTGATTCTGGGGGTGGGAACTGGATGCCTTTGGGATAGCTACAAGCAGAAATTCTTGGGTGAACATTCTGGGCAGGAGGCATACCGATAGTTTAATGTCAAAGATGATCCATGACTTTTGGGATATCTGATGTATGATTGATCAGTCCTTGGCACAAATATATGTTTTATGAGAACAAGACTACCAGAAGTAAAAAATGTCTTTAAATTTTGTTTGATTTGTTTGTTTTAACTTGCTAAGTTTGGATCTTGCCATTCTTTCAAGAAGCAGGTTCCCACCAATTGCAAACTCTTTGTTACGCTCCCTACAGTACAAAAAAGAAACACTTTGAATCTTTCATCTGGGTTAACATACATTATTTTCTCAGGATTTTTTTTTAAATTACACTTTTAACATCACTTGATATTAGAAAGATAGTTTCATATTGTTCTTGAGAACCACAAAATATTTCTCCGCTGGCACTGCTGACTGCTAAATTGGCTCTGAAGAGTTCTTCTCCCTAGCAGTTATACCCATCTTCAACGGGGAAGGCACGTTTTGTCTCATGACACTAGATTAAGCAAAGGAATGTGCTGCGAGTGAAAGCACTGCTGATAACTCTAGGCCTTTTGCCCTCTTTAAAACGATTGATTCCTTATGTTTGTATTCAACCATGTTTTTTAAAGGTCAGAGAGCAATTTAGCTTTGCTGTGTATCATAACGCTCTATTTTAGATCCATTTCAAGTTGTTGTCACTAATGATTTCTGTGTTGTATTTAGTCTGTTCTGTACATATTCTTGTCCCCATGTTAGCAAAGGAATTCAGTTTGAGTTATTGTCAGTTATAAAGAATTTGAAAGCTACAATTAAAAACTTGTATAGCAACAGAAAAAACAGAAACAACATCTAGTGCTGTCATTAAAACAATGGACTATAATATCAGATTATAGTCGCCCTGAGCCGTACGGGTAGGGCGGGATATAAATCCCAGAATAAATAATAAATAAATAAAATAAGATTATCTTGATTTCAGTGTGACATTTGCGAAAGCAGCTATTTTAGCTGTTAGGTTCCCTTTCTCCCATTGTCTCAATCTGATATGCAAGTAATTTTATATTAGGTTGGTCAAAAATCTAAGCTATTGACCCAGGCATTTTTCTAATGTCTTCCCTCTTATTCCTCTTCTATAGAATGGGGGGGGCTTGCACTGTGGCTCAGCTGAGGGCATGATAGTACCTCTACCAGTATCACTGTGTAAATATGGCTATTTGAAATACACTGTGGTTTTCACTGTTGTCTCTATAAGTATCTTTCTGCATATATAAAGTTGGGGATTAGGAAATAAAAGTGGATTTTGAGACAGCTTACTTTAACCTTTCCGCCTGTTTCCTCTAACAAAAGAATAAGCATTTTAGGACATGGATTGTGAATTTTAATGATCGCCCCCTGTCTCATGGGATCTAGTTTCAGTATTGGCTGGAGTGCTGAAATGCAAATGGCAAAGGCTACAGCCTGTCTCATAGTTACCCTTTAAGATGCTGTTAGTAAGCGTGACACTAATAAGAAAATGACAGGACCACTGCTAGAATTAGATTTGGCACAAGAGCCAAACAGGGACAAAAACCACTGGGAAAACCAAACAGAATCGACAAAGTGTATGTTCGCTCTTAGAACAGTTGTTGTTTTTGCAGAGTATCTAGAAGAGCTTCCAGAAACTGATGAGCCGGTGTGGATCCTGGGAAGGCAGCACCACCTGAAAAACGGTAGGCGCCGTCGGTTTAGGCCCCTCCGAGTTTTGTATTCTGAACCG